TGAATAAGCCACTATAGAAAAGATCTGTACCACTGAAAAAAAAAAAATAAATAAAAAGGTCTGCACCAGTGAAAAGAGATCCATTTATAGTAGAAAAGACCAAACAAAACAGCATTAAGCGCTGTTGCTGTTTACTGCTATCTTGTTATCCAGGAGTAGCTATCCAACAAGAAAATATTGGAGGCAATAACATAAATGCTCCCTTTAAAAACAACAAAAAAGTCTTTTTTGTTTTTTTAAATGTTGCTGCTATTTTCCCTCATTCTTGGGACAGCTCTCAACCATCTACCGCTGAAGAAATAAAACACAAAAGACAGGCCAACTAATACAGAAACTTAGGGATGAGTGTCAGCAGCTACATTACAGATTTCATGGGCCACATCCAAGCTATACCAGTGATCCCAACCAAGCACTTGCTGAAGGGTGAGAGAAGAGAAACCAGCCCTGAAGAGCCCCATGGTGCAGCGTCCTCTGTGCAGGACAGCAGTCACTCAACACTGGCTTCTGGGATTTGTCTGAAAGGACTATCCTATGGCCAAATGGTATAAATTTCCATACTGACATATTTTTACCTTACTGGTTTTACTTAAAAAATAATTTACTTTCTAAATCATTGCAGATTATCTTGGGAAAACTTCCTTACACTGTCAAGCTATTTTATTTGCTGTCTGTCTCATGTTCTTTAAAAACCCACATACCATATCCTCCTAAAAGACCTCCATTTCTTTCTTTTTGCCACACTGGAAATTCCTCGCTTTAAGTTGACTGGGATTCAGAAAATAGCCACAATAGAAAGCTTAGTGCAGCAAATCAGTCTGAAGTAGATGTCTCACTGGGCCTAGGATCAGTACAGAGACTTAATCTGTAAACTGGCTGCCACAGACATAAATTAAATTTAAAAGGCCTGGAAGACATGTTCACAAATGATTCATGTAATTTAAATCAGCTCCTTTGCAGTGCTGAGATTTAGGAATGTTTGTGCAGGGTTCTTTTTTTTTAATTTATTGCTTCCTGCATGGTCACTTGGAAAAAAAAAAAAAAAAAAAAAAAAAAGGAAAAAACCAAACAGCTGTATATCATTGTTCTGCAGACTTCAGAGAAAGGAAAAGAAACTGCTTGGTTCACAATCAACATTCACCACAGGTAACAGGCACTGATTTACTTGCCTCATGCTTCCAGTTCAGAATTATTCACAAAAAGCCACTTGCATTTCAATGGTAAGACAATAGTGCTCCTAAACTCTTAATTAA